CACTTGTGATTTGTGTGCTTTTCTATATGTACATGTCAATAACAAATTATTTCTAAAATATTTTTAAAGGTATGGGGTCAGTAACTTGCTTGAAGACTAGTTTAACAGTAAGACATTTTCTTCAAATACTTTTCCAAATGACACAAACATATTTTCATACCAGCAACAAAGCCCAACATAGCCCTTTTAAACTAAAATAGGAAATACAAAGTAAAAATAGTGTTCCCTAAACATAAAAGTGTAAAATTAAAAGTATACTCAAGCAAAGTCTTCATGCCATTATTTGAATTGAGTAATTCAACAAATATTTATAGAATTAATTATGCATCCAAAACTTCCCGAAGTAAATATTCAGGATGTTGTGGAAGAGAATGGTTTAGCAAGTCACACACTTTGAATTCTGTGATTCATCTGTCATGCTGACACTAGGCAAGTGGCTTAATCTAAGTTTCAGTTACTTTATCTATAAAAATAAGAGTCACAAAATTTGAGAACATAATAACATAATATAGATTTAAGTTTCTACTCCAGTGCCTATTATGCTGATTATATAAATGTTATATATATGTATATGTATATATAAATAAGGTACTTATATAAATGTTAGTTTCTCTTTCCTTTCTCACTGCTTTTAATTCTTAAAATGAGTTCACTTTAAGAATTTAAAAGATTTATTTCATCTATAAATTTTTAAACCTCTTTAATATTGTATCTTGACAATTTTGTTTCCATTGCCAAAACTTTTTTCTCTTACAGTTAATTCTGAAATTAAAGTATAAACTTAACAGGGCCTTTCCTGGGCTCTGAACTGCTATTTTTCTAATCGACTGAAAACAATACTGTTGTCTTTTAGCAAGGAAACAAACACCCTCCCCACCCCCCAAATCAATATTCTGTTGTCTTCTGGCACATATCCTCCCCCCTACCCCCCACATGGCCAAATCAAAACAAATCTCTTGTCCTGGGATCATAAACTCAGAACAGCACACATAGTAAAAAATAAACTTTTTTGTAAAAAAACAGAATTTTGGATGACAATTTGGTGCTTTCTTATAAAATTAAGCATACTGTAACCATAACATCCAGCAATTGCATTCCTTGTTATTTACCCAAAGGAGCTGCAAACGAGTTAGTCCACACAAAAGCCTGCACATAGATGTTTACAGTAGCTTTATTCATAACAGCCAAAACTTGGATGCCACCAACATACCCTTCAGTAGGTGAATGAATAAGTACTCTGGGGTACCGCCAGACAATAGATTATTCAGCATTACAAATAAATGAGCTATCAAGTCATGAAAAGACATGGAAGAACCTTAAATACATATTACCAAGTGAAAGAAGCCAATGTGGAAAGGCTACATACTGTATGGTTCCAACTATATGATGTTCTGGAAAAGGCAAAACTATGGAGACAGTAAAATGATTAGTGGTTGCCAGGCACTGGCATGGGGTGGGGGTTGAATAAGCAAAGGGGGAATTTTTAGGGCAGTGAAACTACTTTTGTAGAGTAGTTTTTTAGAGTAAGGTCAAAAAAAAAAAAAGGCTTCTAAAGGGCCAGGGTAAATTAAACCCAATATTCAAGAGGTTTCCTCATGAACATATAGGCCTTAACTTTGCTTATTGACTTTAACTCCAATAACTTCAATTTGACATTGAAGTTAGCAACTCAGGTATATTTGAATGTTATAGTTCTACTAGAAAGATGGTGTTTGAAATTGCTGTTCTACAAGAATTCTTGGCACTCAGTAACCAATTTAAACAAAAAAAGGCATATGGCTCCTTTTAATATAAAATTAATATAAAAACAAAATTAAAAAAGAATAATGATAATATAAAATTAATATAAATTAGCATTTAAAAGATCACTATGCACCTCTGGGGAAATAAGTCAAAGTATTATTTATTTATGACATATATACATACATACAAAATTGATTATCTAATACAGCATCCTGCATAATGTCATAAAATGAATACCACATCACAGGAGTAAAATTCCTCATTTTAAAATAATTTATGGATAACCCAACACTTTCAGAACACACAATATTATCAGTTTGGCTTCATAAATCACAAAGTCCTCTTTAGAATTTTTTCTAGCCAAGGAACAGAATAAATTCAACAGCATATTAAAGTAATTTAATTGACCCTGAGTAATTACTAATTTGCATAACTTTGAATACATGTACATAATACGCTTTCATCTGTTCTCTCACTTATAATTACTATCATACTATCTTTTGTCTACCTTCATCCATTTCACTTCATCCACTTCATTAATCCTCAAGAAAAAGAGGAACAAAGAATAGGAAAGTAATAATGACAGGAATATCAGAAGAAGCTACCATCATTGCCTAAAGCTTTTCCAGCTTCAGAAGTCTGTGGCAAAGCTTAGGTCCAGGGTTGCCTCAAAAACTTAATAGAAGGAGGATTTATTTTCTTTTATACTTAATTTTTTTTTTAAAGGAGGAACTGGAACTGAATAATTTGAGCACCTTCTGTCAACTATGGTTGATGTTAAATTCTCTTCCTGCATTTTTCCTGTTTTCTTTCACACTAATTAAAATAAATTAGTGTACAAGTTATAAAATTAGATAATTTGGATAAAAATGAAATATAAAATTCAGTAATCTGGGATTCTTCAGAAGAAAAAAAGGTCACAAAAACCACCACAAGAACAGTGGTCAAGAACTGTGTTAAAGATGGATTTACTTAAGAAGCTTGAGGGAAGATAAAAGCAAATAGCCGCACACCTGCTCCCCACAACCCCCAACCCCAATGCTACTGTGGGAGTTACAAGGAAATGGGAAGGGACAGAGAAGAACACAGGGAAGCTGGATAATTGATAAAGGGAACTGTGTAGACTTACTGATCAGTATATCTTATTCCTAATACCACCAAGACAGCCTGGCTAAGCTGCATAGTATGTTATGCTCCCCACAACCCCCAACCCCAATGCTACTGTGGGAGTTACAAGGAAATGGGAAGGGACAGAAAAGAACACAGGGAAGCTGGATAATTGATAAAGGGAACTGTGTAGACTTATTGATCAGTATATCTTATTCCTAATACCACCAAGACAGCCTGGCTAAGCTGCATAGTATGTTAAAGATGAGTTACTTTTCTTACCCCTTGTACAACCAAAAAATCTGAGGAGGATGAAATAAACAAGAGATTGGGAAAGCTGAGCATGTGGGGTGAGTCATGCTCTTGATGCCTTTCAAAGAGAACTCTGGGCCAAAATAAGAACAGAAAGGTCACAGACCAGATCATGTATTTCTCTCTTCCATCTGCCCTTCTCTAATCCTCTTCACCCACTCCCTGTCCCAAAGAGCAGAAGGCTTACCAGGTTACCAGGTGCAGAAAAATGATCTGGCTTCAACCAAGCCATGGAATAACTCTGCCACTGCTATTTCGAGATTCCATGAGAATGGTCATCTAATGAGAAGGCAATGCTTGGGTTTCTATTAGAACAACCCTCAAAAACATTAAATAGGATATCTGAGCATTGGTAAAATTTTTTAAAAAAAGAAAAAAACTCAGATATATTTAGGATCTTTAAAATTTCACTATAACAGGAGGGAAAGCAGTATAAATATTTTCAGTACGGGCAGTGAAAGACTGTTTTTGTCATCAGACCAATGCCGTGATAAAATACTGTTAGGAAAGGATAGGCTTTTTAAATAAAAAATAAAAGTAAATGGTAGAAACTGGCTTCTCTTTTTAACTCATGAGTGAGGATAAAAAAGTGTTCTGTCCCTATTGTCCCTGGACAGAAGTACACCATAGCAATTGGTTACATCTCTTTTCTGTCCCCGATTACTTTCAATGATGCAGAAGTCTGAATTTTACTGAACAATCATTATACAGTGCTTGGAAATGAACATATATCATAGTTTCAAAATTAATACTTCTCATTCTCAGGTAAAAAATAGCAGAAATATAATAATTACTTGAAATAACATTAATACAAAGCAAACCTTACATGTAAAGACAGTGCAAGATAAGAGCTTAAACACCTTTTATAAAACTGCCAGAGATTGTGCTAATTCTTTTACATCTAAAGAATCGTATAGAATAGTAAATAAAAATTAAATTACATTTCTGTAAGAAACTATCTTCAAAAAGTTATTTGAACTTGCATATACAGAGTTTGACAGTATAAGAAAAAACTAATTTAATTTTGAGTTATATAAATCCCAAAACAGTAAAATATGTTGAGAGGGAAAAATGCTTTTACTAAATACAAACACAATGGACTAAATAAACCAGATTAAATACAAAATAGTTCCTTTGAAAACATCCATAAAAAGTAAAGGCAGAATGGCACAAAGTTAGAAAAGTAGGGTTTAAGGCAAACTAAGAAGTAATCTTTATTAGAGTAAGAGGCATACCATTCCATAAGCAACGAAGTAATCCCCTCTCAAAAATTTCTCTATTATCGTTTGGAGAACATGAGTGGAAGCAGAAACAATGGCTGTTGTCAGGGTTTATTCTTGAAGTACTGAATAGTATCATACAAAAATAACAGGAATAATTCTGATTTAAAATACACTTGAATGATCTGCCTCTTGGCTGTCACATACCAATGAAACCATAAAATGTATTACCCCAATGTTCATAGTATAAATCTGTGAAATGCCAAAAATTATTTTAAAAGAAAGAAAACAGTATAATTTTCCAGACTATATGAGGGTACTTCAAAAAGTTCATGGAAAAGTGTAATTAAAAGATAACACGAATCTTTCCACAAACTTTTTAAAGACCCCTCACATGTGTACGTGACGACAAAAAAGAAAATGCTCAATTCCGTTATATTGGCCCATACTGTTAAAAACATGCCAAGAAATGAGTACCACCTCCCTACAAGCAGGTGTCTTAAAGTAAATTGTTGAGCACACTGCTCAGCATCGGACCTGAGAACATGTGCACATACAAAACGCTTCAAAGGTTCACAGGGAAGAGCAAGCAAAAAGAAACAGAGCTTTTAAAGAATATTCAATAAACACGTTCTTTATGTCTTTAAACAACAAAATAATCAAGTACACATTATTAAGTTAAATGTCTTTGCACATGAATTTTCTACTTTACAAATTTGGTACATTAAATTGTGCTATAAATGTATTTGTATATATTCTTCTTTGAGAACTATGATATATGAAATTATAGGATTATAAAAAGGATTTGTTTCTTTTCATCTTTTTGAATGACACCATGCCTTTCTAGAAAAACAAAAATTGTAGCCTACAGGAAAATTATAAAAACTGCTGGATTCACTGAAGCTATTCAATTTAATAAGGTACAATCTCTTTTTCAACATCAAGGTAAAGTGAGGGAAAGTCTCAATATCCTAGATAGGTGTTCTCTCACACGGTCCTAGGTGGCAGGCGCTGTTTATACATGCCTGCTATTGCTTTGGCTGCACTGTAGATCATCTGTCGACGAGACATGCCAGTAAAAGCCATATGCCAATCAGTCCGGCTGACATTTAGTAAACTCTTTTCCAGAACTTCACCCACTGTCACCAAAAGGCCTGACCACCTTAGATTGTAGTCCTGGGGAGTTAGACTTTGAGCCTAAAATAAATATAAAATACAATAAAATCAATACTACTTATAATACATTAAGAAATATCATTGGAACTAGCTATAAGTGACATTTCAAAGTCTCTCAGGTTACTTTTAATATAGATGATGACAAACCCTGAGAAACACAGCTACGTACACTGCCAACTGCATGAAGTTACAAGGCTACCAAAGAATCAAAAGAATACGACACACATCTACTTTGTTTAAAATATCCCCATTAAGCTCATTTTGTTGTTCAAATACAACCTAAGTCTTAGATCTAACAACTCTATCTATTTACAAAGCTCAGAGCCTAGTTCCATATTCAGTGTCACTTTAGGTGTAATAAGATTAGGGCTAAAATTGTCCTTTTATAGTAATGAAACTCCAACCAGAAAGAGAGAAACTGCACATTATTGCTTCAACCCATTTAGGGGAGAGCTAATTAATTTGTAGAAGGTATACCTGGAAGCAGGATTAACGTGTCAATAAGTTAAATCAAATAATATCCAGTCCAGGATAGCATCGACCATCATACCTGGAAACAGGATTAACGTGTCAATAAGTTAAATCAAATAATATCCAGTCCAGGATAGCATCGACCATCGTTATATCATTCATACTTGACCCAACCTGTATCTGCTCCCACTCAAATCATTTATTCACCTACCCAGGAATAAGAGAATAAACTCAAAGCTTGATATCCAAGAATGAGGTGGCTTTTGTGTTTTAGGGTGTTAGGTACAGTCTAGAGGAGTGTATCTGTATATAGACTAGATCTATACAGTGATTCCCAAATGTGTTGTATATTACAATCACCTCGGAGCTATTTTTACAAAACCACGTTTCTCATGCCCCAACTAAGACAACTGAATTGCTGGTTGCACAGCTGGTTCCAAGAAAAGTAGTAGTACAGTATTATATAAAATAGCTTCCAAGTAAATCTGATGCAATCGGCACAGCATTTGGGAACCCCCCTCTAAGTATTCTCTCCCAAAATGTATACTGCACTATCAGTATTTCACTATGTTTCAAAGAAGAGAAACAGCTGCTAAATTACTAAGGTCCTCAGAGACACTAGTAGAACTGTGCTTCTTGAACTGTGACATGTATACAAACCCCCTGAAGATCTTTTTAAGATGCAGATCCTAATTCAATAACTCTGGGTTAGAGTCTGAGAGTCTGCATTTCTAACAAGTCCCAGGTGATGCTCACGATGCTAGCTATCACACTATTGAGGGACAAGGTATTTGAATTATCAGCAAAAAATCCAGAATCACTAGGTTTTTAATAAGGGTGGGGTTGGGGGATAGGAATCATTTATACTTAAGTTTAACATGCATCAATTGTGTGAAATTTTTTTCCAGATTTTCACTAATATACATACTGTTGATAATTATAATTTCCTGAAGGGCTGATTTCTATTTCCTTAAATAAAAAAATTTCAACAATAAAGAAGCACAGACATAACATTTCAGGATGGATAAAAAAGAAACTGAATAGGTGGGAATAAAAGGAAGGCATTTCAATGTACACACTTTTGAACCTTCTGAATTTTGAAACCACATGACAAAAAATAAAGACAAAAGACTAAAAAGCAAAGTAAAAAGTAAACACCAACTTTTGAATACCACTATTCAGAATAAACCACTATTAACAGTTTGCTGTGCATCCTTCCAAGCCTTCCCCCCATTCATTTATATATATTTTAAAGCATATCCTATGCATGTATGTACATATGAGGCAAGACAAAATAGAGACACGCCCCAGGGAGGCTTTTCATAAATATTCAGACTGCATTGGCACTAGCAGTCAATGAACCCATAATGAGCTGACAACAGCTTAACCACCCTAGCAATCAGTATGCTGCACCTAAAACAAAAACCCGCAGCGCCTGCCACTAAAAGGAACAAAAGTGCAGATGACCACTATACAACCTTCCACCTGTGAGGCTAAACTAGCAAGGACAAAGTAAAGGGAAGAGTGACTGCACTGTGCATACCAAAAACTTCAGAAACTCAGGGACGCATGACAAGAAGCTGATGCAACCACGTATTGGCCTATTATTCCTTAATTACCCTAGAACATCCCCCATGGCTGATCATTCCTCCCCTTAGTTAAGATGGAGAAACACCCCGGTCCCAGAACAACTTATAAACACTCACCTTAAGAATCTAGGGGTGTTCCTCATTTGTGGGGTCACCCGCACACCCTTTGGCGAGTTACCTTTGCTTCACAATGAAGTCCTACTGTTTGAATGTTCCATCTGTCTGTCCCACTTCCTTTCCTTTCGTCATACAGGTGCTTACCACAATGCAGATCCCACTCAGTCCCATGAAAGATTTTTCTCCACGGTTTGACCAAGGACCTGGAACTGCTATCCAATAACACATACACCCCCTACTAATAAGTGGGATCACACTAGATGTGCTGTTTTTGACTTTTACTCAGCAATATGTCATAGATATCTTTTGATATTAGTATATATAGGTCTACTTCATTCTTTCATGTGTATTTCTTTCCAATATATATTCCTAACAATGAAATTAAAATCGTCCTTTTGCAACAGTCAGACATCTACCACAGGGTTAGCAAACTTCTGAAGAGAGCCAGAAAGTAAATAATCTAGTCTTTGTGAGCCAGACTACTCAATTCTGCTGTTGTAGAACAAAAGCAGATGTAAATATGTAAGCAAATAGGCATGAGTGTATTCCAATAAAACTTATTTACAAAAACAGGCAGCAGGTCAGATTTGGTCCTTGTTTGATGACCCCAGATCTACAGCAACGTTAACAGAGGCAGTGAAAGGAGCATCCTTATAATTACAAGATTTCTTTTTTTTTTTTTTCCAAGTTTTTCACAGTATAATTGAAAAATAAAAACTGTGTTTTCCATATACAAAGTCAGGTTTTGATATACATACACATTGTGAAATGGCAACCACAATTAAGCTAATTAGTATATTCATCACCTCACATAGTTACCTTTTCTTGTGGTAAGAATTTTCAAGATCTACTTTCAGCAAATTTCAAGTATGCAATACATTATTAGCTATAGTCACCATGCTATACATTAGGTGTACAGAACTTATTCATCTTTAAACCCACCCCTCCCAGCCTCTGGTGACCATTATTCTACTACTTTTTTTTTAAATTTTATTTATTTATTTTTTAAATTTTATTTTGTCGATATACATCGTGGTTGATTATTGTTGCCCCTTACCAAAACCTCCCTCCCTCCTCCCTTTCCTCCCTTCCACCCAACAATGTCCTTTCTGTTTGCTTGTTGTATCAACTTCAAGTAATTGTAGTTGTTATATCTTCTTCCCCACCCCCCCGTTTGTGTGTGTGTGTGTGTGCGTGTGTGAATTTATTTATTAATTTTTAGCTCTCACCAATAAG